AGTGAAAGCATTTAAAAACAATAAGCCTTAAAATTCACTGAATGTAATAGCCTTTTACTATGCTTACTTCATTTCCTCGTAAATAGTTAAAGTACTACAATTAGATGCCGACATGACTGTATAATCATTGTTATTTAATAGCAGCACAAAAATCAGATTATTTAGACAGACATCCTCCTAAGCGCAACAAATGCTTAGCAGATTTTACATCCCTGCTGCTAAGCAGTGTGCTTATAAAACTGGGCTATTGAACGAAAAGATAAAAAGAGCCAAGTTAATCAAATTTGAGAAGTGAACAGAATGTAGAAGGTCATGAGATTGTAGGCCTAACGTTTGGATTACAGAGAAAGTTTTGCTGGAGTCTTTTACGAGAGAAAAAAGAAGGAAATCGATATTCCTGGTATTTCATTTCACCATTACCTGAATTCCTTATATAAAAGTATAGAATCAGCAGAGATAACGGTGGCATTAAAGAATAAAAAAATGGAAGAGGAATAAGCAGAAAAAAGAAAATAATCAGAAAGTCTTTAAAGATACAGAAGGGTTTTCCACCTTATTGTTTCGAACCTTTTAATGGTAAGCTAACAGGAAGCCATCTAAAAAACTTAGATAAATCTATTCCTTATTTATAGTTTACTGGTAATGGTAATATATCAGAAATTTCTTTTTCAAGTAAACAGATAAATGACTGGAGAATTTCTTCCAATCGATCACTGTTTTATCATCATATGTTGGTAATTATTTATATTCATTTACTTGCTGTGAGATACAAACTGAGTTCAGACCATAGCTTTATTTCCTTGGCGACATAAACGAAATTATTGACTTCTTTCGTAATTATTATATTTTCAATGGACATCAACGAAATTCATATTCAAATATAAAAAACTGCAAGTTGGTTTAGTGCAAGTCTTTGAGATGCGACCCTAATTGCTATTACAAATTTTATTGTTATTCAGTCTTTTTGCAATAGAACTGAAAAATGTGGATGATTCACCAGAATAATAAATGGTCATAATTTCATCTAAAAATTTAGGGTAGTAGAATTCTAGCTTTTGACAACAAAAAACTGAGCGGCAATAAACATCACATTTATCATTTCATAAAAGTAGCTTTTATCAAGCCGTCAATTTGTTATTCTTGAAAAACAAATAATTTTTGACAGATTCATGATTTTGTCCACCTTCCGGAATTAATTACTTTTTAATATGAAGTAATCCTGTCAAATTGAGACATTCCTATATCTTTTTGGGCATTAAAAGAAAAATGACCTTTGATGGTTGGAATGTTTGACATCTTGTAGAGATTTATAGGTGATTCTTTCAAGAGCATTTGGAAAAGGATGGACTAAGTTGAGATTAATCAGATTGTCTCACTTTTGAATGCGATAATGATAGCAATGTCAATAGTTGTTTTCGCTATACATCCAAAACAGTCTTGTAATTAATCATTTTTGTATCCTAAAAACGGACAGCAAGAAATTTCAGCGCATATAATTCAGAAGGTCACAACTTTTCTTTAACTGGTTAAACGTCTAAAATTTGGTTAAGCAAACACGGAAAGGTAAATTTTGGGCAATTTTCTGAAATTAATAGCTTAGCGATTTGCGTTACAAATATAACATTCCCTTGTTTCGTTTCTGAATCTTTGAAATTACTTCTAAATAAACTAAAAGCAGTACTCGTCCATTGAACATGTAACCTGAATGAATCGTTGTTGAAGAATCATTGGCAAAAAATATTTTACGTCAACGGGAGTCAATCTGTATGATAACATTGAGAGGGCTTAATTTGAAAGTAATTTCTGAGTTCCAAGCATTGCATTGGAATGAATGGTGTCAACTCCATGTGTTCAGAAATTTAGACATACTTACTCTCTTCGCACTTTGCTTTATCATTTTCATGGAATTTTTGTCACACCTCTTCTTTACCAGTAGTTGAGAAGGACGAAATTACTAGGAAAAAAGGGAAGGGAATTATTTGACACCCTTCGAGAAATCATTCGCTTTTCCGCTTTTTCCGGACCATTTCCAAATTGTTGTCATATCTAAATCAATTAAACAAATAACTCTCTCTCTCTCCCCAACTCATTCATGAATTCTTCTTTTACTTTATTCTCGTTCTGAGACATTTCTTTCAAATTTCATCACTACTTTAAATATAATTCATCGGAATCTTTTACTTATTGTGTAGGAAAATTTGTCGTCTAGCTATCCATTATTTCAACTTTCATGAAGCATTTTCTGATACATTCAGGATATGTCATAGCAGTCGAACATTACAGTTCATTTGTCCCTAATTTCTCTCTTACAAAATAACTCGAAGTTTTGCTACCATTTCAAATTCCACAAAATATAAAATAAGCAAATTACGAATCAAAATTGTAAGCGCAATTATTACATAAAAAGATATGAAATGTGGTGTTGAACTTTCGAAGAAAATTGGATTTATAAGCAAACTTTGAGAGACATGTTGACTTTTTCAGAGGAAAATGCATTTGTCAGGAAATGAAGTACAGAAATTTGAATAATTCGAAGCCTTGTTATCATCTTTGTGGAATACTCTTTATTCATTTGCCACACATCTCCTTTGTTAAACGATCTTCATTTCAACACAACGGATTTCGAACATTGTCGGTTTCTTCTGTTTCTCTTCCTGGAGTCCTGAAATAAAATAGAGCAGTTGTGAATCGTTTACCAGATCACCAGTTTTGTGTGGAAGCGAAGCTGATGAAATACATACAGTTGGTGTTTGGCTAAATCACTGAAATATTTCACCAGTTTAGCTATAATACCAAATCAACTTACGAAGAAAAATTGGAAAAACAAACATTTGTAAAATAAATTTAAGACTGGAGGTTTCATAGATCGAGTGAAAGCTATTTTCAGAATTATTCAAATCTGCATGCCGAAAATTTATTACTTGTTCAAAATTTATGCAAAAAAGAAATAGAATTCTTCGACAACCACTTCACAACCTGCATACCTTTACACAAGCTAATTTTGCAAAATATGGAGGGGGAGTGATACAACTTCCCACGACATTAAAGCAATTAATTTCAAAAATAAAGTCAGTTCTTCCTTTTACTTCTTAGAATCCCTTTAAAACAATGAAATTCCCCTGATATTCCCAATAAAAACCATTTTTCAGAGAATGTTAGCACTGATTAAAAGAAAATATATCTTTTTATTTACCGAGAGATCAAAAAAGTGTCATTCAGAAAAAAAGTGGATAAGTGACATCAGTTACTTTTATTGCTAATTTCATCATCAGCAATATTATTAACATCGATATCACACTATCAAAGTTAGTATTAGCATTAACACATTATCATTGCCATATTCTCCTACTAGACTTTGCATCATAAATGTGATTTCTTTTAAAAAATTTTTGCCTTTACCCCTACGTTTAAAAATCGAGACTTTCCACACTGTTTTCAGTTTCCTACCATTTAATTCCGATACTGTTGGTCATGCAATAACAGCTAAAATTTCCTACGATCGCACTTTTGAATGAGCGCATTGTGTCCAGGGAAAAAAGCAAATCACCGCCCAACTGCTTCACTTGAATCCTATCCAAGTCTAATTCTCACCATTTACGAATCGGTTTGGCACCATTCTTGACAACATTGAACTTCTGTAACGTCATATCTAGCATTGCGCCATTTAATCACTTTCTATCAGTCATCTTTCGTTCCCAGTTCTATTGCAAACATCAGAAATATCACTGGTAAAATTAGCATAAAGTTAATTCGTCACGATTGACATTTATAGTTGGGATAGAAAATGGCATCTATGCAGCTACAAAAGGGTTTTTCGAAAATTTGTTCATGCTATTTCTCTGCTGCTAGCTGAAGATCAGTGGGACGTTTCCCAACTAATCGAGAAAATCGGATAAGAGAAGAGAAAAAAAAACAAGGAAAGAATGGAAAGAAAATAAAAAGGATAATCCTTCACAAGATTTTCCAGAATTTTCATCCGAGCCATGTAGTCTTATTTTTTATAGGAACATATTTAAATCAAAACTTAGAAATTAGCAAAAAAATTTCACCATATACTATTAAGTCAATATCATTATAGTCACCCTTGTCATCACTGATATCACGTCAGTATCGCTGTCATATCTTTCATTATTGATACCATTTACAACTTAATTTCCATGTTTTAAACTTAATTTTTAAGTAAAACTTGGAACTTAGATTCCGAAAAAGTATTCCAGCTCCAATCACTGCTATTTTCATGGAAGCAGAAGGACGGTTAATTAAGATACTTAATGATAAAAATGCATTGATAAATGTAATGTAAAACGTTTGTTTCAGATATAACTCAGAGATCAGTCTCCCTAATTACTCAAATGTCCATTTTCAAAGGAAAATAGAAAACTGAATTGGAAAACTTTTCATGATCTTTTTACCTTTTTATAGATCGCTTTCTCTTCTTCTTCAACTAAGAAGAAGAAGGATGAACTGATGAATTATTTCCATATTTCGAACCTTTTTTTAAAAAAATTTGTTGATCAAGTTAAGGTCGTTATATATCATTATATATATATATATATATATATATATAATAAAGAAAAATAATATAAGAAAAACGAAAGTAGTTATTTACTAATACGA